ATTTCTGTTCTGGAACAATGTCTCATCTGTCTAAAAATGCAGCTAACACACAGCTTCATGTCATTAAATTCTTTCCTATATTTGCTGTTATTTGCAGGAGGTTGGGTTGGAGCAGAGATTGGCAACACAATTGAAAGATTTGATCCAGAAGAAAATAGTTGGGATGTGGTGGGAAGCATGGCTATGCCCCGTTACTGCTTTGGCTGTTGTGAAATGCAAGGTGAATATTAAGTTTGTATCCATAAACAGTTCTGAGAGGCACTGGATTTTGAAGCTTTGTTTAATTTTTACCTTTGTCTCATACTGTGCTGTCAGTTGCACATGCTTGTGCCTCACTTATTTGTTCTTCTAATACCATATCTTTAATTTTGCAGAATTGAAAGACTGTGTATAAAGTTCTTTCTGTCTTCTGCCTTTTATCTCATGGACACAGTTTTTATATGGCTGCTGGTATGGTTACCCAGATAGTCTTTTAACAGCTGGTTATCCTTCCCAACACTGCTTTTATTTACCTTCCATACTTGCATTTGTTTGTGTTTCTTTGTGACAATCTGAAGAGTTGCCACACATCATTTTAAGACAGGCATGTGTAAAGACTTGATCTATAATTGCACTTATTAATTTAATTTAATTAATTTAATTTAATCCAAGCCTGGTCAGCAGTTGCAGCCTTCTGAATTCTCTAATTATTGCTTTCATCAGAGCTTTTAGTGCTTGAGCCTCAAAGTACTCATTTGAAAGTTCTATGTCTGTTACTAATGGACAAATGGAGGATTTTTATCTGGCATTCTTAAGCCATCTTAATACTGGGCTGAAACTTGTATTGTGACAGACATTTTCTGTCTTTCAAACCTTTGTATTATGAAACCTATCAGAGGAGAAACTGTTTCTACAGGTTTGATCTATGTTGTTGGTGGTATCAGCAATGAAGGAGTAGAGCTACGTTCTGTTGAAGTCTACGACCCAATATCTAAACGTTGGTCTGAGCTTGCTCCAATGGGCACCCAAAGAGCGTATCTTGGTGTAGCTGCTCTCAATGATTGTATCTATGCTGTGGGAGGCTGGAATGAAGCTCAGGATGCACTTGCTACTGTGGAGAAATACTCCTTTGAAGAGGTATGGTAGAGTCCCTTTCTTTCATAAATGTAGATCGCATCAACTTTGTGTAAGATGCTCTAGAGGGGGCCTACTTCCTGTCTTTAAAAAGGAAAAAGTTGGGAGTTCCATTTCCTTTTCACTACTGGCTGCTAATCTGAGTGAAACCAAGCCTCCGTGACCTCAGGGGGTCTGTCTGTCCTAACCAGTCTGTAGAATGTTGCTCTCTAGCTTGGTGGTGTGTTTACAAAGTTGCATGCAGGCTTTTGCAAAACTGAAAGCAAACCAATACTGATGATGCATAGATAGACTGTCCTTTAGTAAATACATACTAGGGTTAAGATGGGGGATAGATTCCCCCTCTGCAATAGAATGATAATTGATCTGATTAGAGAGAAAGAAAGTCCCTGAAAAAGGAAGAGTTGCCCTTTGAAAATTTCAAAGTTGAGGATCTTTCTTCCACTTCGAAAGTGGTGTTTCAGCATGACTATACAGATCACTTTGAACACTTAAACTTTTGAATAAGATAAGAAATTGTTCCTGACTGCTATTGCTCATGTTCCTGTGATGCTCTTTGGAGCAGTAGCTACTATTAAAAACAAAACATAATCCAGTGTGCCATTCTGTTTTGCTTTTGTAATTGAATCTAGTTTTCCTTATTTTCCACCTCAAACTGCGTACTATTCTCTATTTTAGAGACAAACTGCATCTTGCAGTGACTGAGGAAAGGGAGAGGAGTTCTGTACAGACACTATGTGACTCTAGTAACTACCATGATTTGGACTGCTTGTGAAAGTGCTGTCATTCCAGTCTTGATAATCCTCTTGATTCTGTACACATGCCACACCTGAGCCTATGAATTGTATATGTAGTGTTCTTTGTATATGTTTCAGTCTTTAAGCTTTAAACTTTTATCAGAATTGGGCTTGCCCCTAAACTATTTGTTGACTATTTCACCATCTCATTAGGAAAAGTGGATTGAAGTTGCGTCGATGAAGATACCGAGAGCTGGTGTCTGTGTTGTGGCTGTGAATGGATTTCTTTATGCCTCAGGAGGCCGAGCTCCCAGTCATGATTTTGCTGCTCCAGTAACCTCTGACTCTGTTGAAGTTTATAATCCTCATACGGACAGTTGGACTGAAATCGCCAACATGATCACCAGCCGCTGTGAAGGAGGTGTAGCTGTGCTGTAAAACACAACAAAGAAAACTTATGCAAGGAATGAGTAAATCTGCCTTCTCAGATTTCTGGTTTCATTGGTCAGAAACGTAACACAGGAGCTTCAGTAGAGACAGTGGAGAATTGGGTCAGAGGGCTTTTCCTGAGCAGAAGGAAATATTACAACTCTTGCCCTTCAAAGTAAATTGGCTTATCCGATGTCTGTCTCAGGGGGTATCCTGTTAAGAGTAGAAATGGCTCTGACTCCATTTAGCTTACTGAAATAGGTGGTGAATATGCCCTGTAAGAATCTGAAGAAATCATTCCAGCATGTTAGGGGCAGCAATCAGATTGTTAACTCTGTAAGGTGCACCAAAGCTAACATCTTTAGCTGCTTTTACAATCTGGAAGGAGATTACTGTAGATAGCTAGAAGTTACCTGTGGATAAGAGCAGTTGGGCTACTTGGTTAGCATTAGTTGTCCTTTTCTGATTGGGGGGGGGAAGGAAGATAACAGACAGGGAAGACTTGGTACCTCTACTTACGACCTCGATGCATTTGAACCTCTTTGCTGCTGCTGGACATGATGGGCATTAAATAGGAATTGGATATTTACTTTCTGGCCACTTCACTAACTTGGATGGTGAGTGGCTGAGATTTTCCTGTTTTGGAAGGTTATTCTCACCGTTCTAATAATGTCATTCCACTTCAGCATAGGCTTTTCTCAGTGGTATCAGTGATGACCTCCTTTTTAAGTTCTGATGAATTTTAAATGGAAACGCTATTCATTAGATTAGTTGTTTTCTTTAGTACTGCTCTTAGTATAAAAATGTAGGGAAAGCTTTTTGCCCCCACCCCCCTGTAGTTAAATGTGGTTTTATCCTGTGTGACACACGCTGAGGCTTGGCATTGCAATACATGCTGTTCTACAAGGTACATACCTCCATCTTTGCTACATCTTATATCCTGCCTCTTCCAGACTTGAGCAAACGGAGGGTTTTGTGATAGAATTATTTGCATTCAGCATTGAAGTGGTGCTATTAGTGTGTTTTGTCTTAAGGAGTTTGTATTTGGCTTGGATACGCTTAGTAGAGCAATACTGAGAGTTTGGAGTTATTTCTAGATTCATTTAATTAACATACTTGAAGTTGCTTTTTGCACAATATGATTGCATTTTCTGCACAACTGTGGATGATTTGAATGGAGTCTGAAATAAGGCTGCTTGAACTTTGATAGTGTTACTCTAGAATACAAAACCACAACTGGAATGTCACAAAACAGGAAGCCTGCACTGTGTAGACAAAGGAGCATTCATGCTGTCTAGGTCAATATCCCCTCTGTAAAATTAACAAATAAATACATTAATAAAGTCCTTCAAGGTAAGCATTGCAGGTACTGTTAGAATCTTGGTCTTACATTCTAACACAGGGTTGGGAGATTGCCAGACTGACACATACTTGATGATGGAGCATTTATTTTTCTGATGGTTCTAGAATCTTGTGTGTGCTTTTACTTCAAAGATATTTTACGTGTGTGAACTAAAGTCTATTCTCTCATATTCTTTTCCTAATTTAAACTTGTTTTAAATAGCTTTTCATAATAAAAGTGCATTTTCAGAACTGACTGTGGAATGCTCTTTAGTAGGTTGGTTTCCTGTTACTGCCACTTTCATATAATAGGTCCTTTTTTTTACTGGAAATCCTATTTCCTTGTGGGACACCAGGAGAAGATCATTTATAGATGTGGACTATTTGAAAGTTGCAAGTAACACAGTAGTAGTAAAACAGACATGTATTTCTCCTCTTAGTATAAAATCACTCCGATTTCTTGGAAGCCTGGCTGCCTTGTCAACTCTGCAGCCTGCTCTAGGATCAAATGATGGGTTATATCTCATAGGCTTTCTTCTTTACTTTCAGGATCCCTCATTGAACTATTTGAGGAACATGACTTTAGCTGTATTTTATTTGTTTGGGAACTAGGGGTTCACTTCTGATCCCTACCCATAAACTTCTTGGATCAGTGGAGCTTAAGGGAGTCTGCTGTTGTATGAGGTCACCTCCATTTTTACAGTCGATTCCATCATGCTTGAATGAAACTTTGAAGTTAGTTATGTTCTCTGATACTCTCCACCTCTTTCCCTGAATTAAGGCAAAGATAGGTCGAAAGAAGAGCACCATCTTAAAAAACCACCATGTCTAAGTAAGAAAGACTAGAAAACTCTTTTCATTCACAAACTCATTTTTACTTCCTTTATATTCAAGAGTGCAGAAATACATCACTGTTTCACACCTATGATGCTGTTAACATGTAAAAGTTAACATGTTGCAGAAGTTAGAGGCTCATGTATATAGTTGCTATTTCAGCAATACCATAAAGAAGATGACTGTCTTCAAGATAAACAGGTCTTTCTTCAGCATCTATTCTTTGCAAAAAGAATAGATACAAATTTTAAGTGCTTTATTCCGTATACAGCAACAGTGAAGAATACTGCATTAAGAAAATTATGAGGAGTATCTAAATTTGTACTAAGACTGCGTGTGGATGTCACTTTTCAGTTTTTTTTTCTTGCAACTTACACTGTACATAAAAAATACTTAAAAAGCCAACAGTAAACATGCTGACATAAAATTTCCTAAGTTTCTTGAAATAGCTGACTCTAGAAAAGAAAATCCATGTAACTTAAGCTTTGTCTTCATCCCCCTAAATGATGTTTTAGGAGACTTAAGTACAAAAAGCATATGCTTCTGCAGTAATTGGCTCATCATGGAGGGCTTGCAGGCTACAAGTCCACTTCTGCTTGCTCTGAGACAAACAGGTTACCCAGAGAAGCTGTGGCTGACCCATCCCTGGCAGTGTTCAGGGCCAGGTTGAACGAGGCTTTGAGCAACTTGATCAAGTGGAAGGTGTTCCTGCCCATGGCAGGCGGGTGGAACAAGGTGACCTTTAAGAACCCTTCCAATCCAAACCATTCCATGATTCTAGCTGTCCCCAGCCTGTCAGAGCACCTGGATGACAAGGTGAGTTCTACCTTACCTTGCCCCTGCCAATGGACCTTGCCTATCTTTTCTTGCCTATCACTTAATCACATAGCAAATTCAGCACCTTCTCAGTTGAAACGAGTTTTGTTCCACAACATATTTACTGAACATGTGTGTACTTTTACAAAATTCTCTGCTGCTGCTTTAAACGCTAAACTAGAACTTTCACCTCATTACTGTGCATGACTACACAGTTGTTTTCCCCACCACAGAATATTATCACACATTATAGTTACACCAGATACTTTAATGATTCAGCATAGAGCAATTCATACCCATGTCATTTGAATCTCCATTTTAACTTCAGTAGCATCTCAAGAGTGATACTTTGTTCTACAAATAAGGATAGACTCATGCCTGCCTTGGAAGACATTGCTATTTACAATCCTTTCCTCCTAAACTAGCTAAGTTGTTTGCTTCATGAATAAGCATCATGATCCCTGCCATCTTACAACTTCCAAGCACAAGTCTTTACTTCTTCTGGAACTCAATACAAATCTCTTACTGGCAGATAAACAGCTTTTTCCCTGTTGATCTATTACTTTGTGCTCCGCCATTCATTCTTGCTGTAACTTTGCTCTATCTCTGAAACAGCCTTCAGTGCTGCAGTAGCTAACAGTGAGAATACCATCACCAGTGTTCCCACTACCCTCAGTACTTTAAACCATCTAGGATAAGTAGGAAGAAGGGAAATGTCATAATGCAGCGCTATCCCCAAGGCCATTACTAGCATTACTGCAGCTGGAGTGACATCTTTAAAGAGCAAGGCTTGACAGGCAAGTAGAGGAGGAATGGTACTGTTACCCAGGTTCAGCCAGTCTGGCTTGGCCGGGCTGTTTTCTGGGAGAGCAAACCCCCACCTCATCCCTCCTAGAAAAGAGACTGTCACAGCACCATACATTATGTGAGCAAATGCCAGCTCTGGGTAGTAGGTCCCTTGGATGGCCATTGACAGCGGTATAGAAACAAAAGGGATCAGCCCTCCAAGGCTTAAGTACAGGGCTGGCTTGGGAGAATCCTTTAGCGATTCCATGCTTCGTTTCAAGACACCGGAGGCTTTGGTCTCAGATTCCTTGGGGGTTTTCCTCTTGAAGGATGGGAGAGAGGTGTGAAGACCCTGAAGCTTGGCTGCATATACCGATGCTACGTTGAGGTGTGGAGATCTTGAGAGAGGACACACATCTCTCTGCAGCCAGAGGCCAAGGGAAGAGCAAGTTGTCTTATTCTTTCCATAAAGCAGTAGCCTCGGCGCAGTTAACTTCTGGAGCTGCAAGTATAAAACTCATTCTTAACATCTTACAATGTAGTCTTATGGATCTACACATACCTACACTACCTACAAAATAATGTACCAAGCAGTTTTCCAAGTCAGGTCCCGTAACAGCTGCCTATACTCTCAGTTTTGGGGTGGTTACTAATTATGGTCACTAATTATGCTGATACATCTTTCACAAGCTAGCTGATGAAGAGCAGTTAGGCTCTTCATAGTAAGCAAACCTTACTCACTACAAGAGGTTTGTGTATCCATCTATACTCCCACCCACACATGCATTCTTTAACCATTTTTATGTTATATTCTACTCTAAAAAGGAATGCTATAAAATGATTACAGAAGTAGGATAAGGTCACCCCAGAAACTAGTTACTATCTCCTTGCTATTCTACTGGAAAGAGAGAGGGAAAAGACCTTTAAACTATAAAATCTTAGTTTTGGCTCAGAGCTGCTGCACAAACTAGGAAATCTCTCAGAAAGGCTCAGTGATAAATCAACATGGGGCTACTCCAATTTATAATTCACTTTGTTTTTTCCCAGTGTTCTGGTCATACTTTTTGTCATTTTAATTAAAAACAACAACAAAAAACAGAAAACAAAAAAAGGCCTCAGAAACTTACTTTGAAAGGTGTGTGGAAGCAGCATCTTTGTATGAGAGGAAACATGTTTGCTTTATCAAGGCCCTAAAACAGAAAAATTCAGGACAGGTGGTCTGAAATTGATGAATAGCTGAGTTAGTCTTATGCCTCAAGTTAAGTCACTGTCTAGACTTGTTTATCAGATGCAAGACTCACAGATGTGTATTTGAAGATAAGCACTGTATGTGCTCAACCTTTATTTGTCCACTACAGGATATTTAGCTTCAGGTAGTTCTATAAACTAAAACCCTAAAGTTGGAATAACTGCTACGAGAACAATTTCTAGTTCAAAATCTGGAAGCGGAGACGGCTCCCGTTTAGGATCCTCCCCTGACGGGGTAAATAACTGCGCGCAGCTGATAAACGGCCAATTCCTCCCGCGTGGGAAAAAACCCTATCCTTAACCACTAACGAGTGGAAGCTTCATCTCACCCCAGGCTGCGGGCGAGCTGCCTGCAGGGGGCTGCAGCACTAACCGGGAAAGGCGAGCAGCTCACCCGCGGACTTCACTTCCCGGTTCTCGGTGCTGCTGCTCGGCAGAAGCGGACTGCAGCAGGCTTGGCACCGGCTGTGACCGCGGCGGTACCCACCGGCTCCCGGCAGCGGCCTCCACAGCCAGCGCTGCCCCTCGCCCCTCGCAGCGGCTGCTTCTTCTGCCCCCGGAAGCGCTCTGGTAGGGCCCCGGTGCACAGCGGTGCGAGTCCGGGCAGGAACAGGCGAGGCTCATATTGTTCCGTCGGACCGGGGAAATGGGCCGGGGACAGCAGAGGGCTCCTTCCACTGCCGCCGAACACCGAAGACTGCGACGGAGTTGGCCAAGGAGCAAGAAGGGCCCCGGAGTAGCTACGGGGGTGGGGTGTGGGGGCGAGCCTGCTTTTCAAGCTTCGGAACCCACGCAGAAAGGACTACAACTCCCAGCGTGCCCCGCGGCACCGCGACAGGCCGATCTTCGGTGCAGGTGGGGCGCACGGCCTTCTGGGACATGTAGTCTCCGGTGGCATCCGGCGGGCCATGAGGCCCCGTGCGCGCTGCCTCTCTGAGCGGTGGGGCGGGGGTGGGGAGCGCTTCGCGTGGCCGCCGGGGGAGGCGGGGAGGAGGTGTGGGGGCGTGTCCCTTCCGCCTCCTCGGCCCCGCCCCGCGCGCGCGCAGGCCCCGCCCCCTCCGGCCCCCGGCCGGGCAGGGCCGGGCAGCCATTTTGGGCAGAGCTTTGTTATGGTTCTGGGGCCGCAGGAGGCAGCGAGAGGGGCCTGGCCGGTGAGTGCGGCTCCCACACCCCTCCTTCCGCCTCCCCGCCGCGCCTCCCCATCGGCAGCCACCCCGGGACCCTGCCTGTCACCTCCCGTCTGCTTTGCAGCTCCGGAACGGTCCGGGATCGGCCTCCCGCCAGGCCGGGACCCCGCTGGCGGTTGGCGGCGGGCGGTGCGGCCGCCCTGGGGGTGGGGGGGTGGGAGGGAAGGGGAATCCCTCCGCTCTCGGCCCGGTGCGCTCCCATCCTCGCGTCCTTCTGTGGTCCCGTGGGGAACCCAGTCCCGAATGCGGCGGCGAGGGGCTCCCTGCGGGGCAGGGCCGCCGGGCCGGGGGAGGGCGGTTGGGGCCGAGGCTCCGTCGTTTATTGTTTCCTGCTTAGCCGGGAAGTTCGGAGCGCTGGACACGGCCTGGGCGCTGCCGCGGGCCTGCTGGCTCCCGCCCGGAGTTTAGCCTTGTCCTGTCATCGAGCTGGCCGGTCGGTGGGGGGGGAGGAGGAGGGGAGGTGGCGGAAGGACGGGCCGGAACGCCGCGTTTCGCCGGGGCTGCGGGGTGAAGTCCCCGGAGGGCGGTTGGGGGGGGGGGGGGGGGGGCGGTCAGGCCGGGGCTTCCTGCGCGGCGGCCCCGGGCGGGCGGAGCGTTCGCGGGTGAGGCGCCGGGGCTGTTTTGATTGCGAGCTGGAAACGAAAGCGGAGGATCCGTGCTGGCTCGGGCCGTTTCCCTCCGGCTCTGCGGGGTTCACGGCCGCGCTTTCCGGCAGGCGCCGAGCGGTGACACGTGTGCTGCGGGCAGCCGAGCCCCTGCAGCCCCGGTCGACCGGGGCCAGGGCAAACGGCGGCCGGGAAACTTGTCAGGCGCCCCTCGTTATCTGAGCACAGCAAAGCAGCGCTTGGCGTGAGCGTGAGGTGGCTTTTTCTTTCGTCGTGAAAGTTATTTCTGTGTGTCCGGTGTATTTTACGTCCTGTTGGCCTGCAGTTTTGCGTGCGGCTGTGGCTGGACTGGATCAGGACAGCTGTGTTCACACCTAGCATTGCAAAGATGCGTTTCAGACTTTGAATTCACTTCGGTTTAGTAATAAGCTGTTTTGGAACGATTTTAGAGCGGTTAGTGGGCGTCTTCACAACTTACAAGTTTTTAAACAGCTTTAGAGGAACAGTCGCTATTTAAATCCTTGTAAGTAATGGAGGAATCGTGTAAGAGCATTGCTTAAAAATGTGGAATGATTATTAACATGGCCAGGTAAGTCGGCCTTGCTTTCCCCGCCCCCGAGGTCGGAGTGACACGAGTGTTAGTAATATTGATATACTCTGAAACGTTGCAAGCAAATGAGTGGAGTATGAAAACAGCAAGAGGGTGGTATGGAGACAAGAAAACAGGTAATTGCGAAGACATCAAAGTTGAGTTTTCTGTGGAGTTGACGTTGCTTCCATAAAAATGTTAGGTGGTTACGAAAAAAGCTTATGCAAATGTTACTTTGTGAATGGATACGGCTGGTATTTCGGTGGAAAGGTTCCTCGTGCTCGTCCATGTGGAGACCTGTATTTTGAACTTCCAGTCTCTGATTTGGGAAGGAAATAGGTATAGAGCAGTAGCAGGAAGAAATAAAATCACCAGGTTTAAGTGTGGGTTTTACTATGACATTTTTTCTGATCGTTTCTAGAGAAACGTACCTTAAGAAGAGCTTGTTTCAAGTTTCGTATTTTGAACAGAAAACTTTCAGGTGGTACTTCCCTCTTTGGGTTTGTTTTTTCCTTTGGGTTTGTTTGTTTTTTTTTTTTTTTGCTTCTTATTTCTAGGGAAGTGCAGCCTCTGTGTTTTGTATTCATCTCTGGGTTGTAGTCTGAATCCTGTATGACACAGAAGTTTCCATTGCAGATATACTAAGACTTAAAGTGAAAATATGCAAGGAACAGATGGCATTTAAAAAAAAAAAAAAGGTTCTGTGTTTTCTGCTGATGTCTCAGAAGTAGGATTAGCCGAATGCAGATGTGATATGTAACAAATCAAGTGAAAGTGCACACTTTGATTGTTAGGAAAAATACTTTACTTTGAGAACGTTTTGTGGGTAATGTGTACCTTGTCTCACATGTGGCTGCTTTGTCCATGGTGTCACTGCCTCTTGACATTCCTATTTTAAATTAGGAGATTAAGTCATGACGGAAAAATAATCTTTGCTAGCATTTTCATGAAATGCAAAAAAGTATTTCAAGAATTGTGGGCTACTTGTTTTTAATACAGAAAAATACTGCGGTTGGATCTGTGAATTTCTTCAGGAGTGTGGGTGTCAGATAACATAGTTCTTGGCTTTACCCAAGTGATCAAAAACTATTGGCTCAAGAATTAAAGTTGCTTTTAATTTGATTTCAGTGTTGCAAGATGTTTGAAGTTAGTTGTGTAGCTGCTGAATTGACATAGTTGTGAAGTACGCTTCAGAGTGTGCTTTATTCATCTGTATGAACAGATTGGAAAAGGGCTGTGACTGTTCAGTAGAGCTAAAACATAAAGCACCTCTCTTCAGTAAAGTGCTGGCTGCTCTTGCCTGGATACAGCGTTTTCTTAGGGCTTTGTGAAAACACAGCCACAGGAGGACAGTTGCTATAAGTTATCCAGGGAAAGGTCATATTTACTGAGTTTTGCAGTTGGTGGGGTAGTGTGTGTACTGGGAAGTTTGTTTGGGATTTTTAAGTTCATGTTAATGTATTTGTAGAGGCAGGAGGGGTTTAGATTTTCTTCTGCTACTTTTTTGTTCTAGCAGTTTAAGTAGACATTTTACTGCCACTTACATAGTGACCAGGATACGAAGTAAATCGTATGTGGCCTTTGTTTCAGTAAGTCATTGAAGTGTGTGTTCTCTTTACTTGTCAGATTTGATGAAAACCAGTGAAGTTGGCAGAAACGTGGTCCTGCTTAGAATACTTCATGAATGCCAGGATGTTGTTTAACTTGTGTACTGTAAGTTAATATGTTCCTGTGAAAATGTGCCAAACTTTAATGAGTTACTGTATGGTCATAAGATAAATTTACATTTTTGGGAGGGGATTTAGGAAGAGATTGATAGTGGCCAAGTATCCACCTCCCCATGCGTGTATGTACAAACACTCTGCAGACCTAAAATTCTAGGTTAGTGAAGGCCATTAGCATGACAATAAGTGGGAAGGGAAGCACATTGGTTAAATTAATCATACATATTAGTGATCAGGCTGTACCATTGCAAACTGGAATTTCTTGATTAAAATCTGCTCAACTATTGCAGCTCCTGCCTTCTTTAGCTGCCCTTCCAAAACATCAGAAGAAGAATTTTAACACTTCATGTTTTTCAGACCTTTCTGTATATAAAACAGCAGAAAGGCTTTACAAACTGTTGTTGTATGCAGTTCCGTGAAATGACTAAGCTGAAATAGTTCCACTTCCAAGGTCTGCCTTAACAAAAACCCTTTGAACCAGTGTATCCAAACAATATCTTGAGGTTTTCTGCAATAAATGATGCTCAGAAACAAATATTTTTGCAGAGTATGACCTTGTGCCTCAGGGACTGTTGTACACAAGAGAGTTCACTGGGAGCTACTGAAGTTTCAGGATTTACAGTCATTCTAGCAAAAATGCCAATGTCTTTTTTGTTTTCTTTTTCTGTTTTGTTTTTTCCTCTCCTTGAATTTTGTTATCACTTCAGTGTTTTCATAGTGTTACCTTCCACCCTGAAAGGAGTATCACAGCTTCATAGTGAGATGTTGGCGGCTGTTAATAAGCAAAAGTGGGGGAGGGTGGTGGTGGCGTATAATTTTGTCTAAATGCATGTCCCTGGTTTTAGGAACCCCCCCTTTTCCAACACAGGAAAAAATGTAGAATTTTAAATTCATTTCCTTTGGAGCACTTTTATTTCAGTGTCTGTTCTAGGTTCAGGTAAATGTAAGGGTGAATGGTGGTATGGCCAAGAATGACTGGCAGCAGGGATAGGG